TTGAATTATGGTGCTGGAGAAGACTCCTGCGAGTCCCTTGGACTGCAAGGCAATCAAACCGGTCAGTCCTAGAGGAGATCAACTCTGACTGCTCTTTAGAAGGCCAGAGTCTGAAGATGAAACTCAAATACTTTGGCCACCTAATGAGAAGGAAGGACTCCCTGGAGAAGAGCCTAATGCTGGGAAAGATGGAGGGCAAAATAAGAAGGGGACGAAAGAGAATGAGGCGGCTGGATGGAGTCATTGAAGCAGAAGGCATGAGTTAAAGAGACTCCAGAGGTTGCTAGAGGACAGGAACATTGTCCATGGGGTCGCAATGGGTCGGGCATGACTTCGCAACCAACAACAACAATATTCATGCAAGATACTGTCATCTTGATGTAAAGGGCCTTGAGGAGGTATTCTTTATTTGATAGTCATAAATGTCCCAGATTCCTGCTGCTTTCTTCAAAATAACAAAAGGCTGCCTCTTCTGAATGTATGTGCAACATCAAAACACTCATTAAAAAAAAAATGGGTGCACCGCTCCCAGGTAAATCAGACAGGAAACACAACTAAAGGAACTAATTCTACTGTACTGTAAGACTACATTAACAGAATCTTGCAAGTTTGCAGGTACAAACTTCCTGCTACTGCCTTTAATTGCATGAGGCATTTAGGACACTGGTCTTTCTTTAGTTTCTTTGTCTGACTGTCAAGCCACTGGGGGCTCCTGCCTCTCTTATCTGATTGTTTCCTAGGCAGTATCTCTTCCCCTTGTTCCCCAAAGTCATCCACACATTCCACTGGAATTAATGATGCTGGTGTTACACAATGCAATGCTGCTTTTGTCAGACTGACTCTTTGGAAGTTGTGGCTGATGAATTTGACATAATAATTGAGGTTACTTTCCAAAAACAACTTTGGAGAGACTCAGCCATAGCTTCAACTGGGAAGCTGTGACAGTCTAGACCAGTGTTTCTCAACCTTGGCAACTTGAAGATGTCCGGACTTCAATTCCCAGAATTCCCCAGCCAGCATTTGCCAGACATCTTCAAGTTGCCAAGGTTGAGAAACACTGGTCTAGACGAAGCTAAATCCCAAAATGCTAGAGAATTCCTAGAAGCTTTGCATTCAGACAAATCAGCCATCTACAGACCGATAGAGATAAATCACATGTACACAGCATTCGAAAGAGGCAATAAGAAAGCTAAGAAGGGAACAAAAAGACCAGAACACATCTTTTCCCGCAACCAAGACCTAGAAATACAGGGATTAACATTAGACGACCAATCAAGGAGAAAACAATAGCCTAATCAGGCAACTAACAAAAAATGCATATCAACACTTGTTGACCAAGCTATTGTATATTAACAGGAAGCAAACCCCACACTCAGTAGCACTGATGATGTTAGCTTGACGAGTAATAAAGTATCTGCAAGGTCAGAGAGCAGCAAGGACTCCACAGAAATAACTGCTTATAATTTCCCTTACACCAGGGGCCTTCAAACTTGACAATTTGAGGACTCCCAGAATTCCTCACGTAGGCTGGGGGAATTCTGGGAGTTGAAGCCCACAAGTCCTAAAGTTGTCAAGCTTGGAGACCCTTGCTTTATGCCAATGGAACAAATTCAAATATAACATTTAGAATATAACAAATACTACATGTTGGCTTCACACAGTATTAAGAGAAGGAAAGAGAGCCAGTTTGGTGTAGTGGTTAGAGACATTAGGCTAGAACCCAGGATACTGTAAGTTCCAGTCCCATCTTAAATATAGAGCCAACTTGTTGACTTTGGGCCAGTTATTCTTTTTTAGTTCTTGGCAGAAGAAAGGGGGACACCACTTCCTGAAAATCTATATATATATAGTTCTTCTTTTTTAGTTCTAGGAAGAAGAAAAGGGGACACCACTTCCTAAAAAATAGAGAGAGAGAGAGATCCAGCATAACTCTGGAACGTCTCAAGCAATTTCAACCAAACTTGGTATACAGATGACTTACTCTCTGGAAACAAATAGTGTGGTGATAAGACACCCCTAAAGCCCCTCGGTGTGTGTGTTCTGATAACAGCCTTCTACTGGCTTCTACTGTACTGCCGTAAAATGGCTTCTACTGTACAGCGCAGTAGAGTTGCCATGGTAATGACTTCACAGTATTCCACAAGGGAGATCCCTCTGGTAAGGGGAGGAATCCAACATTGGAAATTATGTTTGGTCTGGACATTTCCCCCCTATGAATAAATACCTGGGCAATGCTGGGTTATCGGCTAGCATTACTATAAAAACTGCCTAAACAAGTCACCAATGTCTACAGTGACTTGGAGGCACACCCCAAATTAAATACAGCCCATTTACAGGAACAGGATTTCTATTGCATGCTCCCATACTGAACCTTAATCACCACTTAATTACTTCCCAGTTTATGGCAGTCACAGGTTGCCAGCACATCCAAGATACTAACCTTCCAAACTAGAATTACAAGGGAGAATTAAAGAAGAGAGCATGAAAGAAGAGAAAAAGGATGGAGGGCATAAACCCAAATTAAGATTACATGTTGGATCCGATATCACATACATTCTATTGTTTATATATCGTGGTGGGCCATGGTGGTGTAGTGGTAAGAATGCAGTATTGCAGGTTGACTCTGCCCATTGCCAGGAGTTTGATCCTGGCAAGCTTAAGGTTGACTCAGCCTTCCATCCTTCCGAGGTCAGTAAAATGAGGACCCAGATTGTTGGAGGCGATATGCTGATTCTGCACACCACTTAGAGAGGGCTGTTAAAGCACTGTGAAGCGGTATATAGGTCTATTGCATCACTCAAAATAAGCTTCCTTGTATTTTGCACCTTGCGGTAATAATTCCTATACATTTGGAGAATAAATACAATATTTATAGCTTTAAAGCTTTGTGTTCTGAGGAATGGAAAACGCATTATTTTAATAGCGAACAGATTTATGAAATGTACTGTACTGAACAGGGGGAGATTAAAGAGGAAGAAAAATGCATTTCACTTAAAAAATCATTTCAACTATTTCTCCAGAATTATCCAGTGCAATACCCAAACAAGGAAGTTAATTTTAAAACCCAAATTTAGGGTGAATGCTATTACAAATGACTGCATAGACTGAATAGCTTCAGTCATTCACAAAGCTAGACCAAGTGCTTAAAAACACTGCATTAGTACTCAATAAGCCTAACCTTTTTTTTCCATAGCTGCATCGAACTGGATTTAAAATATAATGCTCCCTCCAGAAATGTAAACGGTTCGGTTGTTTATTACAATCAATACTTATGTAACACTATAACCTACATTTTATATAACTTATATAACAACCCTTATATAATAATAATTGTAAATATTTTAAAGGACAAAAAGATTAAGAAGCGTCTTACCAGATTTTTAAGCAGTGTTGACAATTCCTTAGTTAGCGTGGAAAATTTGACAAAAGCGGTGCCCAGGTCTGGATTATCTCTACTTAAGAAATTACTTCCAAATTTATCTAGCACTTGGGCATAGCTCTCTTCATTTTGGCTATGTTCTGAAAGAGAAAAATGTTGAGTTAATGCCACTTTACGAGAAGACAAAATAATAATGACGAGAAATAGTTTTTTTTCTAAGAGAACAAGGCTAAAATTCGCCATTTGTTCAAAGATATTAAAAGTTAGATTATTTAAGTTAGTTGTTTTCAGCTCTTTATGCCAGTGAAACCTGGAGGGCGCCAGCAACTATTTTAACAAGAGACTTGGCGTCTTCCAACAAAGATGTCATCACTGAATCCTAAAGATTTGCTATTTTGACTATGTTATTAAGGAAGAAGTGCTGCTGCAAATTACATAGCAATAGCAATAGCAGTAGACTTATATACCGCTTCATAGGGCTTTCAGCCCTCTCTAAGCGGTTTACAGAGAGTCAGCATATTGCCCCNGTGGGTGAAATGAGGACCCAGACTGTGGGGGCGATATGCTGACTCTGTAAACTGCTTAGAGGGGGCTGAAAGCCCTATGAAGCGGTATATAAGTCGAACTGCTATTGCTGTTGCTATAAGGTTGACTCAGCCTTCCATCCTTCTGAGGTCAGTAAAATAAGGACCCAGATTGTTGGGGGCAATATGCTAGCTCTGTAAACCGCTTAGAGAGGGATCTAAAGCAGTGTGAAGCGGTATATAAGTGCTATTGCCAGTGCTATTTCTATATTATACTCTTCTTTCTGACTCATACTACCAGCAACAGCAGCCAAATTTTGTGTTGCTAAAGTGAAAAATGCTGTAATAACCAGTGCAAACACGATGAATTTGTCATCTAGAATCATACCTTTATAACTTTATCCATTTTATCTTTTTGTTACGCCTTTTTGATATGCTGAATGTTGGTCATTGTATTAAATTTAAATCTACGTTGTATGTTTAACTCTTTATAACTTCACATATATATCATTTGCCCATATTGTGAGTTTGGGGTTGGGGTTTTTTTGGGGGTGGGCAACAGCAAAGCTAGTTTGTCTCTGCATCTCAGGATGTTGCCAACTTCCCAATTTGCCTTCAGTGATAGAATCTTCTGAGAGTCCCCAACCCAAGTTCTAAAACATGTCTGGGCTTTTTGTTATCAGTCTAAGGTTAGCTGGGTGTTCTCCTACCTAGCTCCATATAATCTATTTTTCATTGTTTTAAATTTCCACAAGGTATGGAATAAGTTTGATTCCAAGAATACAATAAAAGCCTGTTAAAAAATCCCAATATTTTGTTTGTTGTATACCTGGATAATCCTATAGAATGCTTTAGCATTTGACATTCTATCTATGCTTCTTATTTATATATTTCAAAGCCCTATATTCAAGAATAGCATTTGAGAATGATGCATAAATGTATCATATTTCTTGATGTGCAGTAAACTTGACATTCACTTCCCAGTATAGAACTAGCTAGGCAAATCCGAAGACAGCCATCGTACATATATTTATTTTCCATTTTTCACATTGAACAACAGAGTGGGCGAAATCTCTTCTTTAGTAAAATATTACTAGGGGATCAAGATTCCCTCCATCATTTCTACTTCTTTTCTGGATTTTTTTCCCTTTGTTATCACTGTATCTTTTGATCTCTGTATTTCTTTGTTTTGCCTTCTTGGGTATCAAGGGGAAAGGGCTAACCATGAGTTCTTTTTAGCATCTCTCCCCTCTGAAGGCCCCTCTAGCTTAGCCAGTTGTATTATACAGAATTAGGCTAGTTCTTCGTTATCTCCCTTCTCTGTACATTTTGCTCTAGGTTTCAAGGAATCCAAAGAGAATAGTGAAGACCTTCTGCCTTGCTCCCTATGAAAGGGCATTGTGGTGGCCAATTCTGTATATCTTGGGCTTAGAAAGGGGTATCACTTTATTTTCCTCATCTGCATCGTTTCCTAAAGAGCAGGGGTGGGTTTCAACCGGTTCGCGGCGGTCCCTGTGAACTGGTTGGTCGCCGAACCCGGAAGTAAGTAACT